CTAGAAGTTTCTTCAAAGATTTTTTACCATTGACTGCCCCTCAGGAACACCCACCAGGTACTTGGCTGACAAAGGGCTCCACTTCTATTATGTAGAGCACCCTTTCCTCCCCTGCCCTTTTTTTTTTTAATTTAGTGTGTGTGTGTGTGTGTGTGTGTGTGTGTGTGTGTCCAGATCAGCCCACTAGGGGGCAAGGCTGCTTGGCATGTGGTGCTGGGGGATTGAACCGCGGTCCCTTAAGCTTGTTCTAAGTAGGTGCTTTAGACCACTGAGCCATCTCACCAGCCCTCCCCTGCCCTTTTGCTCTTGGCCTGAACTGCATTGCCTTCTCCCCCCAAGTGGCAGAGAGAAGAGGGGTACTAGAGAGAGGATAAAGTGAAAAAGCTGTACGGGATTGTGAGAAAAATAAGCAATGCCTGACAACCCAGGACGTTCAATTGTTCACTTTAAATGAGGAACACAGGCAGGCAAGAATGTAGAAGTAAAAATAACAGAAATGGTTTTGCCTGCGATTTACGAACCTTCTCCCCCCTCCAATTCTGATCTGTGGTGTTCAGAAGGAAAGGGAATCAAAAATCCTAAAAGCTCTTTGCTTATCTGTGGATAACGAAAAGTCTGCCAGGCAGTGTCCAGCCCTCCCGAGAGTGCAGCTGCTTGTGGAAAAAGTGAGAACAGAGACCTGGAACACTACGTATCCTTTGCGGGGGGACGCGGGGGGAATAAACGTCAGTGTCTAATGTTACAGGAGCATGTGACTAATTTCGAAGGTAGAATTTCAGAACATCATATTTTAGTAAGAAGTTTGAACGGTAAGTGGATAAAAATATCTGGCAAAGCGAAATATAGTATTTGCGGGGTTCAGCAAATGCTGTCACCCAGCATTTGCTCATGGGGCACACGCCCCTTGTCTAAGTGTATACAGCCTGGCACACACAGTAGGGGCTAAGAGAGAGGTCCATGCGTTAGTTCGGTTTTTAAAGTGCAATTTTATTTCGATTGGCACGTGCTAACAGTGCATAATAATTACCTGCATTTGGGGAAGTTAGTACAGGTATATGACACATCCTAATTTTCTTTTCTTCCCACCTACTTTCGTAGTCGCAATCTCTTGATTCGGATCAAACAGCAGAGGCGGGGCAGCCGGCCGCCAGGGCAGGCTAGACCGAGACCACCGTTTCAGCAATATATTTGCTCCTGGGTTTATGACTGTAGTGTACAATTGTATTGTATTGTTGTACTCAGGAAAGTGAATCGTCCTGAATGTGGCAGTCAACTGCGCTGTTAATTGCATTTACGTTTCAGAGCGAGGGAGCCAGGTTTTCAAGTTTGCTACGGGATTTTATGCAAACCCATATGCAAATCAAGAACCTTCTAAAAATTCCATCTGTTCTCCAGCCCTGTTGCAAACAACTGAGGGAGGCGCGGGGCTCGCCGGGATGGTCCCGAAATGTGCACCCGGCGGAGTAGCCACAGACCGTGAGGGAGGCGGGGTGACGGCGGGAGGGTTGTCCCGGAGGCGGTCCCGGGGCGGGGCCGTGACGCGTGCAGCCGGCGGCTCAGGGGCCAGACCTCGGCCTCTCCCCGCCTCCGGCCACCGCGGCTGTGGTGGATCCGCAGCTCCAAAAGCGGCCCACAGACTCCTCACTGGGCCAGTCCAGCGCTGGGTGCCCGAGCCCCGCGCACCTCCCACGGCTCCCTAAACCGGTATCCCTTCTCAGCAGAGTTTGAGAGCAACTTTCCCCTCCGTCCCCGGCGCTGCGGTGCTCCGAGATCGTGGCGGCCGCAGGTTGCTAAACCCGGGCTACGCTAGCCGAACCTCGGCTTCAGGCTCGTGTAGGTCGCTTCTTCTCAGAGGTGCACGCTGGGGGTCCCCGACCTCGAGGCTGAGGGCGAAATGCCTCTGGGACACATCATGAGGCTGGATCTGGAGAAAATCGCCCTGGAGTACATCGTGCCTTGTCTGCACGAGATCGGCTTCTGCTACCTGGACAACTTCCTGGGCGAGGTGGTGGGCGACTGCGTCCTGGAGCGCGTGAAGCAGCTGCACTACAACGGGGCCCTGCGCGACGGCCAGCTGGCCGGGCCGCGGGCTGGCGTCTCCAAGCGGCACCTGCGGGGCGACCAGATCACGTGGATCGGGGGCAACGAGGAGGGCTGCGAGGCCATCAGCTTCCTCTTGTCCCTCATTGACCGGCTGGTCCTGTACTGCGGGAGCCGGCTGGGCAAATACTACGTCAAGGAGAGGTCCAAGGTAGGACGTGTACGGGAGGCGTTCGGGGTCGGCTGTATGCTGGGCTGCAGCGAACTTGGGTTTTAAACTAGCAAGTCGCCTTGGTGTGTCTCATTGCTACAGCCCCCTCTACCCACCCTCACCCACCGTCCCAGCACCTTTGAGCGGAAGCGAGCTCAGGTATACCTCTGTGACTTTGAAAGAATTGCTCTGGTTGGTGATAGAAGCCGAACAACTGTAACTTTGGGTCTGATTTTAAGACATAGAGAGTGTCAAAGATCAAAAGGAAGGAAAAGACATTAGAAGCCTTGTATATGATCTGAGACACTCGTATGCACGATGTTAAATACCTGCGTTAGCCACCTAATATGCCCTTCACTGTGGTGGGTCAGAAGGGATTCCTACAAGAGCACTCTTAATTCCGGAGGCAAGTGTGATTTTGCATTTGGTTCCTGGGGCTTGGCAGGGATGGTTAGGAAGAATTTGACCTGTGAAAGATGAAACTCTTGCTCACTTCTGAGTGCTGCCCTTGACCTCTTTCTTGGACTTGGGACGCTGGTAGCTTGTCTACTTGACAACATTGTCTTCTGGTGCACACCTTCCTTTTCCTAAGCATTCCTGACCAAACCCACTCACCACAACCAATTAAGTGCTTATGAAAGAGTAGTCAAGTACTTTGGGACAGAAACCTTGTTTTTCTTCACCTGCCCAGGAATGATTCTTTGGGTGGCTGGCAATTTATTTTGGCAACATTTACAGATAGATCAGTGGAAATTTGGGACCATGTAGGTGCCATTATATCAGTGCACGGGCATTAATTTGGGGGTAGTCTTGCTACCAAGTTAAGTCGTTCTTCACAGCCCAGACACATTTCTAGTGGCCGTATTGAGTGAGTTTCCCTTGTATTGTGATCGGATCAAGGAGAACCCAGAAGGATGAAAAACCTTTATCAAAAAACAGGGAGGTAGAGTGTACTCATGTGTGAGAGAAGATGAACATTCAACTATGTACCATTCTTTGACAATAAGTGTAATATGTCCTCAATGTAAAATTGATCTTGTGATAGAGTATTGTTTAATTTCTCTTAACAAACTGAAAGGAACACTCTTAATGAAGTCAAATAGTAAAGATTGGAAATGTGTAGTAATGAAGGAGGCGAGATGGGCTTATAGAGTGGGAGCTGTAGATTGCTGAACATCTTAAAACCACGGACATGGATAAAGCATCTGAAAGCATCCTTTTGCATGGACACAGTAAATCTTGAAAGAAAATGTTGCTTTCTAAATTTTACTTTGATTCAGGAAAAGTTCAGAGTTACTGGACTGCTCAGAATGATGGCAAAGTATTTCTATTCTTCCATTTGATGCTGGATTACAAAGTCATTTGTCTTTAGATCGGTTTTGTTTTTGTGCCAGTGGCCTTGCTTGTCTGGGAGGAGTGGAGGGGGTAACCCCAGTGTGGCTGGGATTCTTGTGGCTTCACCCTGGAGAAGCAAGTGGCTTATCAAGTTTTAAAAGTTTCTTCTAAACTCAGGGTTTGGAATCCACCCCCCCACCCCCCGCCCCCAGCATTCTAGGAACAGATTTTGCTCTGAGGGAGGTCTGAATTAATTGGTAGAATGATGTCACTATAACACTTGAAAGTTAAATATTTTATTTAACTTTGACTTAATGCATGAAGGTTGGGTTTCAATATAGAATTTAACTGAAATGGAACAAAAAGTACTGTGTAAAGCAGGGTAAAGAATAAGAGAGCTCTAGACAGGATTCTTCAATGATTGGTTATCTTCTGTGTGAAATAACTTTTCAGTTAACTGTGTCAGAAGGTGACTGTGTTGATAAAAGAAGATTCATCTTTCTACTGAAGAGATCTCTTCTTAATCCCAGATTCCAGCTGTACTTTGGTTATTTTGGCATAAAATGCTTCATTTTTGCCCTTTAGAAAAATCACCTCAAGATTGGAACATTTCTGGACAATTAGAACCAAATGCAAACCAAGCCTCAACAAATGATTTATATAACAAAAAACAAAACAAAAGTTTAATTTGTTTAAATAAAGGAATCTGTGGCCTCAGGTCTCTCATGTGGCATTGATTATTAAAGTATTGTGGGAACACATCTCTATATGATCTATATTACTGTCACTTTAACTTAACCTTTTTTGCCTTCATACTTTCTTTTCCACCATCCTCTGTGCTACTTCCCAGAGAAGTGATACAGATGGAGCCGGTTTCTGGCTGTATCCTCTAAAACAAGTTTTCAGTAAAAACTAAATTTTGCAAAGGCAGAATTTGTACCTATATTTTGAACTTAGTTGTAACCTTTTATTAAGGAAAATTTCAAATACATACAAACGTAGAGAAGCTATTTTAAGGAGATTCCGTTCCAGCCTCACAATTGCTAGTGCATACATTTAGTTAGACCAGTTGTTTCTGAGGTACTTTAAATTTCTTGAGATTATGAATGCATACACTCTCATAAAAACTTGTTGGTATTCTTGCTGGACTTTTAAAAGTCATTCAAATATTGGGAATGAATAGGAATATGTACTGGGCCTAAAATTAAAATAGTGGAAGAGTATAGAAAGAAATATTAACCTGGCCACTTCCCTGCAAAATGAGTTGTTGATGGGCAGAATTTATCTACCTAATCTTCCTTGGAAGAGAAGTCCTGGGTGCTAAAGACCCTTGGGAGGAGATTTCCTGTGACGGACAACCGTATGGCGCCCCCTAACTTCAAGCATGATCATTGCTTTCAGGCAAAGGCATTCTTATCTCTTACTCCCCTGAGGGAAGTTTAGACTTGATCCAAGATAAATACTGGTTATAATTTGCTGCTTTTTCTTTGGCTGCCTAGATCTTGTAAATGGCTGTTTTCCAGTGAACATGTAATTTATAGAACCAAAAGTCCCTCTGCTTAAAGCATTTCACTGTACACTCACCAGTGAGTAATTCTAATAATAA